GTGTTCCTGCTACAGTGGACACAGCGTGAACAGGACTGCATTTGCTTAAGAAAACCATGCTGGAATGGCACCTAATGCAGTGACAGTTTTTTGTCTCAAGATGTAGAGCAGGGCTTAGGCCACACAATGCTAGCCTTGGAACTGGACCACCTCAACAATGAATCCCCTCTTCTTTGCCATACAAAACCCCCGTCTCTTCTCTGCCATGAGATCATAGAATGACAGAATGGTTTGGGTTGGAAGGGACCTTTCCAGGCTATCTGGTCCAACCCCCTCTGCAGTGAGCAGGGACATCTTCAACCAGATCAGGTTCCTCAGAGCCCCGTCCAACCTGACCTTCAATATTTCCAGGGATGGGGCTTCTATCACCTCTCTAGGCAACCTGGGCCAGTGTCTCACCACCCTCAGTGTAAAAAATTTCTTCCTTACATCTTGTCTAAATAACACTTGTTAGCTTATTTATCTTAAGCAGCAATTCACAAGAAGTTTCAGTCAATCTAGAAAGTGCCAGTCCAGCCTTCTCCCCATCTGTAGCCACACAAACTTGCTGCTGCCTTTGTGCCACCATTAGCAATCGTACGACGCTGTGGTTAGCCAGATGAGAGAGCTGAACCCACCAAAACCAAATTTTGTTGTGGTTTCGGTGGGTTAGTTTTCAGTCAGACAAGAAAGCTCACTTGGATCCCCACAAAGCTGCAGGGGCTGGAAGAGGTAAGAACGTGTCCAAAACTGGAGGGGACGAAGACTGCCTGTTTTGATAGCAACACATACTGAGGTTGGCTTGAGCTGTAGTTTGATAACACCAAGCTGGTCCTGACACCAAGAGCGAGCAGTCTGCCTGTCCCAGAGCAGTTTGTGCCTCCCCGTTCCTCTTGTCCTGACACAAATGTTTCTGTATTACATCAGCGAGTTCTCAGTGGGATCCGTTCCCTGACCTGATTCAGAAGCACTTGGGTGTTTTCAGACAAAGGACAAGTCTGGGAGGATGGGCGGCACCAAGGAAAGCAGAAGACAGGACTGCTTTGTCTGGAGGTGGAATTGGTAGTGTTGGGTTTGTGGTTGGACTTGATGACCTTAAAGGTCTTCTCCAACCACTACAATTCTGTGACTCAGTCTAGTGGATGCTGGGTTGGAGTAACTACAGCACTAACTCATAACCTGCTAGAAGCCCACGCTTTGCTGTCGTTCCTTTCAAGTTAAAAGTTTTCCCCTGGACAGTGGGCCAGGCCATCTCTGTACCACAACTCATCAGCAGCTCCCATCACACAGAGTTACTGTCCCAGAAGAATTCCTCGTTTTGCCAATACTGATACCAAAAGCACTAGCAGGAAAAGCAGCCAAGTAATAACGTGCAGTAATTCAGAGAACTGAATAGAATGTATTGGGTTGGAAGGGACCCTC